TCAGTAAGCACTTAAGAATGTTTTTTGAGTAGTACAAAAAAATTATATGTAAAGAGTATAAAACGATGTAATGTGCAATGAATTCTTATGAATAGTGTTAAACTCTAAACTTACTAAGTTTGTGAAAAAAAATGTGGAACAATACAGCCTTCTTGCTAAGTTAATTATGCTCCAAAAAACGTTTCTATAAATAGCCAAAATGTGCTCTAAAATTGGGACAAATTTGTAATTTTTCACTAAGGTGTGAATAGATAGGATTTCAAAAATGTATTCACATCTATTTGTTTAATATGCTGTATGCTGTATTCTACCTATACATTTTAATAAATGCATGTAATGTTTATTTTATTTTAATTTCATATAGCCTATTGCATTAAAATGTGTATTTTACATTTAACACCTTTTTTTTTTTAATTATATATGGAATATAGATAATATCCAAACACTTTTTTAGAGCTATATATGGAATATAGATAATATCTGAGCAGTGTAATACATTTTTCATCAGAATGTACTCAATATAAAATGTGTGAATTTTATTTTTCTGAATTCAATACTTTGAAAACTACTGCGTTTTATTATCACTAGTAAGACTGTCATCTCTCCTGATGCAAGACATTCCTCTGATTTAATTTCAGAGCTTCAGTAGTGATGAGGAGCTTAGGAATAAGCCTTTAGTGACAGATAAATGAGTGCAACATCCAGGAATGGCGAAATTGCAAAGACATATAGCAGAATTTGCTAAAATGGTGCAATGCAGTAAAGAACTGTTTGAAGACCGACACCGGCTTTGGCGATCTTTGGCACCAGAAATGCTTTGACATAAGACTTTGCAATACTATGTAATAAAAAGTGTGTCTCAGCATTGTGGGAGCTTTAGTTCACAGACACTGTAATACTAAGCTTTGTCCAGCTGTTGCATACATCTTTGCAGTCTGTGCCATTGTTGGCCATTGTTGGCCAAGGAATGATGGTAGACTGGTTATTTTATTGTGTCTTATCCTCTACAATGTCAGACTTGTACATACATGTTTTTATTTTAATTCATCATTTCAAAGCAATGAAAAGTAAATTAAACCATAAACCCTTGTTTAAATTCATTTTTAGTATAGCATTGATGCTCTGAGTCAATCATCAGTCTGTTCTTTTACATGGTGGTAATGGCACTTGAAATGGTAAGCTCCTCCAAACACACAGTAGATGAGAAATTTGGCCAAAGGCGGCATTTTTCAAAATATAGAACATTTTTCAGGATGGACAAATTACAGCTATATGGTAGACCAGCTCAGCAGAATTTTGATAATGAAAACCCTATTTTGAAAATAAAGAAGATCAACAAAAAAGGGCTTGAAAACAGTGTACATCAAAATATATAGATAAAAAAATAATACTAATAGGAGCATACCCCCCCATTTGGTTCACAGATCAAGTAAGAAAGAGTAATCAATTGAGATCAGAACAAAAGGAGCAGTAAATATATATATTTCTATATAATATACACTGAACAAAATTATAAAAGCAACACTTGTTTTTGCCCATTTTTCATGAGCTGAACTCTTTTTTATTTACACAAAAGGCCTAATTGTCTAAAATATTGTTAACAAATCTGTCTAAATCTGTTAGTAAAAAAAAAAAAAAAAAAATCTGTGTTAGTGAGCACTTCTTTGCCGACATCCATACACCTCACAGGTGTGGCATATCAAGATGCTGATTAGACAGCATGATTATTGCACAGGTGCGCCTTAGGCTGGCCACAATAAAAGGCCACTCTAAAATGTGCAGTTTTACTGTATTCAGGGGATTTAGGGGGGTCCAAAAACCAGTCAGTATCTGGTGTGACCACCATTCGCCACACGCAGTGCAACACATTTCTTTCACATAGAGTTGATCAGGCTGTTTATTGTGGCCTGTGGAATGTTGGTCAACTCCTCTTCAATGGCTGTGCGAAGTTGCTGGATATTGGCAGGATCTGGAACACGCTGTCATATAAGCCGATCCAGAGCATTCCAAACATGCTCAATAGCTGACATGTCCGGTGAATATGCTGACCATGCAAGAACTGGGATGTTCTCAGCTTCCAGGAATTGTGAATAGATTCTTGCAACATGGGGCCATACATTATCCTGCTGCAACATGAGGTGATGGTCGTGGATGAATGGCACAACAATGGGCCTTATCATGGTATCTTATCATGGTATCTCTGTGCATTCAAAATGCCATCAATAAAGTGCACCTGTGTTCGTTGTCCATAACATATGTCTGCCCATACCATAACCCCACCTCCACCATGGGTCACTCAAACCACAACATTGACATCAGCAAATTGCTCACCCACACAACACCATACACACTGTCTGCCATTTGCCCTGTACAGTAAAAACCGTGATTCATCCGTGAAGAGAACACCTCTCCAAAGTGCCAGATGCCATCTCACTCAAGTCGGTTACAACGACAAACTGAAGTCAGGTCGAGACCCCGATGAGGAGGACGAGCATGCAGATGAGCTACCCTGAGACGGTTTCTGACCATTTGTGCAGAAATTCTTTGGTTATGCAAATTTATTGTTGCAGCAGTTGTCCGGGTGGCTGGTCTCGGATCTTGGAGGTGAAGATGCTGGATGTGGAGCTCCTGGGCAGGTGTGGTTACACGTGGTCTGCGGTTGTGAGGCCGGTTTAATGCACTGCCAAATTCCCTAAATGCCTTTGGAGACGGCTTATGGTAGAGAAATGAACATTCAATTCACAGGCAAAAGCTCTCATGGACATTCCTGCAGTCAGCATGCCAATTGTATGCTCCCTAAAAACTTGCAACATCTGTGGCATTGTGCTGTGTGATAAAACTGCACATTTTAGAGTGTCCTTTTATTTTGGCCAACCTAAGGCACACCTGTGCAATAATCATGCTGTCTAATCAGCATCTTGATATGCCACACCTGTGAGGTGGATGGATTATCTCGACAAAAGAGAAGTGCTCACTAACATAGATTTAGACAAATTTGTGAACAATATTTGAGACAAATAGTTATTTTGTGTACATAGAAAAAGTCTTAGATCTTAGTTCAGTTCACGAAAAATTGGGGGAAAAAACAAAAGTGTTGCATTTCTAATTTTATTCAGGGTAAATATATTTAAATTTATTAGATATATATTACATCAATATAGATTTGTTTTACTGATTTTCCTTTGTTTCCCTCTATTGGACTTTACTCACTTAATCTGTGAATCAAAATTTAGTGACTGTCCCCTAGTCATGATTCCAAAGATGTTGTTACCTTGACTTAAAACTTCAAATTCAATTTGAATTCACTTTGAATCCTAATTTCAGTAAATAACCCTACAACAAGGTTTTCACTAAAGTGAGAATTTAAAGTGAATTTTAAATTATTCTCCAATTTAGGCCATACTAACTAAATTGGAAGTACAGCTGAATTAGAAAATGTTTGCAATTCGGCTATTTTAATCTTAAATTTTAAAATTCACTTTGAATTCTCACTTTAGTAACCATGAGAGATTTCTGCCTATATTGGAACCAATTCAGTTTGGCCAAATAAAGAGCGATATGTTGGAACCACTAGATCATATGTGGTGCTCATCAAAATGACTAATTCAATGCAGTACGTTACCATAAGTTTAATCACTTCCAAAACTTTTAGCTTTTGAATTCATATCAACTTTTTGTTTACTTAACAATAAGATCCATGAGTTCATGTGTGAAAAATATGTTAGAATAAAATTAGATAAGCATGTCTATGATTAAATGGACACTCCACTGCCCAAATACAAAAAAGAGAATTTTAAAATCACTTTTATAGAACATATATCCCCCGAATGAAAACATACAGACATTTAATAATGGATTTTTTTTCATTAGGGTGTATCTAAAAACAGCTTGCAAAAGATGCAGATCATTTGTCTGAAGCCGTTGCAAGTCCACTCCCCCTTCTTCCCCAACCCAGACTTTCTGTGGCTGTCCAATCACAGGCTTCCCAATGCAGCTCATTGAGAAGTCTTTGCAAGGCAGGTCCTCTGGGCAATTGCTGACTCTTGAGTTTAGCTCCACTGAGCTAACCAAACCAGGAAGTAACAGAACTGATTAACAGGAGGTAACCGGACTGGTTGTCTGATTGACTGCAGGAGGGATGTAACAGTTTCTATTGAAATATGCACATTTTTGTGAAATAGAAAAAGAGGACATTCTTCATACATAAAGCACTTTACCAAACTAAATACCTTTAGGGGTCTGCAGTGTCACTTTAAATACATTAAGATGGACAACTCTTCAGATAGGATAGATGGATTTTTAATATATAATACGATGAATAAAAGTAATTGAATTTTACTGGTTAGTATACAGTGCCTTTCATCCTGTGATTGCCCTGTTTGGATTGTCTCTTTGTAACGTGTGACACACCAAAATGGTGCAATTCATCAAGTCACATTTAAGATGACTTTGTAGAGGGAAAAAAATCTAATGTTTGTACCAAATCAGCAATTTAATAGACATTTCCCTGCTTCCACTCACATTAGAGCATTCATGCTATTCACTCTACAATTTACTTTAATTCTCCATAGTTCATCCTATATTAATTCAGAACCTCAGTTGCTTTTGAAAACATAAGTGATATTGGATGCCAGTGCTTGAAGTCATCAATTATTCTGAAAACAAATATAATTGTAATGGATTTACATTGTAAAACACATGCATGCATCTAGTTTGATTTGAACTTTTCTCTGTAAGACTGACAGAGGAATATTGTGGTTTTTGTTCGTATCTGTGAATATTGGTGTATTCATTTTTAACTGCCGCAAATTGACTTGTACTTATGTCAAAATGCTTAGGTCTTGTGGTGTTTTCCACTTGAGGTATCTCAGATATGATACCTGACACCTTTGTCTGACAATTGCACTGTATTTAAATATAAAAATGTTAAAGCTACATACTGGCGCTCTATTAACAAAGTATAAAACAAAATATAAAATAAATGGACATATAATAACTACCACCACGTGTAGTCTTTCCTCATACACAAAACATAAACCAAACACAGAAAAGGTGTAGCGCTACATACAGATACAGAGTCGTCCAAAGTCTGAATATCTGTCACTCCAAAAAATGGAGACCACAAATGTGAAATAGTGTCCTAGAAAAGAAATTATAAACTCATAGTGTGACACTGTAATCAAATATGGAGAAGCAAAAAAATCTGAATGGAACCACTCACATATTACTGAGCTAATAAACCTAGTTCAGGTGTAAAAGCTCCTAGGTCCGTAAGGCGACCTTTCTCCTTCTTTAATACGCTTCTTTCCCGCGTTGTAGCTAGGGCTCAAGCAGAAAAAACATATGGTGCAGTATGATATGGAACCAATATCATATGTATATCATAAGTATATATACTCACAAATGTGGAGCCACTCTATAGGCTCTTATCCAGCGCGTTATGTAGTTAAGGACTACACTCCTATATAGCAGGAACCAATAGCCCAATATAGAATCAAATATTTATTGTAAAAATTAAAAAATGTAAGTTAAAAATTCCAATGGCCAATTAGAATCTATAAAAATACAATACATACACATATATATATAAAAAAAAAGGGCATAAAGGTGGTATCTAAAAGTCCCCAGGACGTGTTTCGCCAATATTCTATCGGCTTCCTCAGCTGGGTGTAAAGTGCAATACCTTCTTTCTCCTGCTCGGAGACCTGCTATATACATTGTCCATGATTGAAAAACACCATTCAGCTGTCCTTTTTTGCGCGCTGCTGCTGCCTCTGTCTCGGCGGGCTCTGTGTGTGTTCCAAGCCTCTTTCTCATTGTGGTGTACTTCCGCATACGTCATAGTTTTCGTTAACCCCATCCTCCTGTTTCAGAACCTCGAGCTTTCCTCTCGAGCGTTCTCAATAATATAAACATATTGCACAAATAGAGAAGAAGGGAGTAAGGGAAGAGGCTCTATATAAATAATTTGAATGTAAGATCTAAAGCCTAAATAAAGATATAATAAAGCAATATCTTAAATTATTCAAAATAGTGAATATTTAAATTGTTTCTATAAAAAGGAAATTAATATTATAATTTATTCTAAAAAATGGCAAATTTCGAAATCGGAATTAAGCCCATAAGTCATGAGGATTTTAACAGAAGGAATAACCTATAAAAAATTGACAGCGAATCCAAGTTTAGAGATCCAAGTGAAATTCAGAAATTACCTAAAAAAAGGTTGAGACGTAGGAGTTCTTAGCCAAAAAGAATTTGAGTTTATAAATATTCCATATCCAAAAGTTCAGTTTTTTTATTTCCTACCTAAAGTGCACAAAAGCACCACTAATCCACCAGGTAGACCTATAGTGGCAGGGATAGATGCAATATCTAGCAGGCTATCCCATTATATAGATCTGCGACTTCAACCTATGGTACAAAAAACAAGATCTTACATAAAAGATACTATAGCAGTATTAAATATGCTTAATAACTGTGTATGGGAAGACCATTTTCTGCTGGTTACATATGATGTCGTAGCATTATATAGCAACATACCCCATAAATATGGGTGTACAGCAGTAGATAATTTTTTAAGAAATAGTTCAGACTTTCCGGAAACGCAAATTGGATTTATTATGGAAGGCATTAGGTTAATCCTAGAAAATAACTATTTTTGGTTTGGGGAGAATTTTTTTCTCCAAACCAACGGGGTGGCCATGGGGACTAAGTTCGCCCCCAGCTATGCAAATCTTTTTATGTCATATTGGGAACAACAATTTATATATGATGGACATAGCTGGGGTGAGAGCTTGGTCACTTATGGTCGTTACATTGATGATATTTTTTTTTATCTGGAAAGGAGGAGTCCAGCTTCTGAAAGAATTTTTAGCTTATTTGAATTTTAACACATGGGGGATCCACCTTACCAGTACCTAGAGTGAGCAAGAAATATCTTTTTTAGATTTGACTATTTTTATAGAAGGAGGAAAGATTAAGACAAACATTTTTTTTAAAGCAGTAGATGCCAATAGTTTTATAGAAAGGGAAAGCTGCCACTTCACTCCATGTTTGGAGAATGCCCCTAAAGGTCAATTTCTTCGCATTAGGCAAAATTTCACAGATTTGGAAAGCTATGATTTACAGTCAATGAAGATTAAACAAGATTTTTTGGACAAGGGATATGAGGATACTAAATTAGAAGAAGCTCGAACACAAGTTAAAGAAATAGAACGAAATAATCTTTTAAAATATAAAGACCATACACAACACAATAGAGAAGGAGTACCTTTTATTTGCAATTATAGCACCGAAACTTTTAGGATTAGGAAAATTATAAATACATTTTGGCCCATTCTTCGTGAAGACCCACTGTTAGAAAAAATATTACCAGTACAACCTCAATTTGTACATAGAGGAGTGAAGAATTTACGTAATTTACGTAATATTCTAACATCTAGTCATATTAGAGAAAAGAAACGCCAGGACACGTTTCTCAACCAGGAAAAAGGGGTTTTCGGTTGCGGCCAGTGCCTGGCATGTAAAAGGACAGGAAACAAAAAAAGAAAAATTACCAGCTTTATGAGTACAACAAAAAAAGAATATGAAATAAAAGAAGTAATCACATGTCACACAAATAATGTGATTTATGTAATACAATGCCCCTGTGGTTTAAACTATGTGGATAAAACCACCCGACCACTTCACATTAGGATCGAAGACAGTAGAAATATAATGAAGGGGGCTGATAATCACAGTGTACCTCTTCATTATAAAATTCACCACAATTAATCCCCATTAGGTAGTACTTTTTTAGCATTAATCAAAGTAGAAAAAGATTGGGGGGGAGGGGGATTTTAACCAGAAACTTAGTAAAGAGGAGATGAAATGGATTTTTGAGCTGAATACCCTTATTCCCTATGGGCTTAATTCCGATTTTGAAATTTGCCATTTTTTAGAATAAATTATAATAATTTCCTTTTTATAGAAATAATTTAAATATTCACTATTTCACTATAAAATATAATGGTCTATAAAGTTAACACTATATAATAATAAGAGAAATGATGGATTAATTAAGAACATGTTTAAATATATAATTAATTAGACACAAATATACAAAATTAATATATAAGTAAATTAATCGAAAAATATAAAAAGAATAAAAAAGATATAATTGATCATGTGTTTTACTATTTAGAGAGACTAATTCACTTGCACTGAAAACTCACATAGATACTGTTTTAGATACACTAATGTTATATTTGTACAAATGTGTTTTTATGTGTTAATTGTTGCAAGAAGAAGAAAATAATTGAATTTGTGTACTTGGGAGATTAATAGGATAAAATATAGGTAGATTGATTATATATATATTGAAAAAATGCCTTCTCATTTGAAATAGAATAACACTGCACTTATTTTGAATAATTTAAGATATTGCTTTATTATAGCTTTATTAAGGCTTTAGATCTTACATTCAAATTATTTATATAGAGCCTCTTCCCTTACTCCCTTCTTCTCTATTTGTGCAATATGTTTATATTATTGAGAACGCTCGAGAGGAAAGCTCGAGGTTCTGAAACAGGAGGATGGGGTTAACGAAAACTATGACGTAAGCGGAAGTACACCGCAATGAGAAAGAGGCTTGGAACACACACAGTGCCGCCGAGACAGAGGCAGCAGCGCGCGAAAAAGGACAGCTGAATGGCGTTTTTCAATCATGGACATTGTATATAGCAGATCTCCGAGCAGGAGAAAGAAGGTATTGCACTTTACACCCAGCTGAGGAAGCCGATAGAATATTGGCGAAACGCGTCCTGGGGACTTTTAGATACCACCTTTATGCCCTTTTTATATATATATATGTGTAAGTATTGTATTTTTATAGATTCTAATTGGCCATTGGAATTTTTTACTTACATTTTTTAATTTTTACAATAAATATTTGAATCTATATTGGGCTATTGGTTCCTGCTATATAGGAGTGTAGTCCTTAACTACATAACGCGCTGGATAAGAGCCTATAGAGTGGCTCCACATTTGTGAGTATATATACTTATGATATACATATGATATTGGTTCCATATCATACTGCACCATATGTTTTTTCTGCTTGAGCCCTAGCTACAACGGGGGAAAGAAGCGTATTAAAGAAGGAGAAAGTTCGCCTTACGGACCTAGGAGCTTTTACACCTGAGCTAGGTTTATTAGCTCAGTAATATGTGAGTGGTTCCATTCAGATTTTTTTGCTTCTCCACATTTGATTGCAGTGTCACACGATGAGTTTATAATTTCTTTTCTACGACACTATTTCCATTTGTGGTCTCCATTTTTTGGAGTGACAGATATTCAGACTTTGGACGACTCTGTATCTGTATGTAGCGCTACACCTTTTCTGTATTTAAATATAAAAATACCAGTTGTTTTTAGAACAATTAAACTCTTAGCAGGTTTTTATCCCCCACCCTCCATGACTCCTCTCCTGAAACTGTCAAAAATGGCCTAGTAAGCCCTCAGTGAATACTTTTCTAACACCCTAATACGTATCCCTACTTTTACCCTTTACTGTCACTATACCCCACTCCATTTAGAATGTAAGCTCATTGAGCAGGGCCCTCCACCTCTCTGTTCCTGTATGTCCAATTGTCAGGTTAAAATTACATGTCTGTTAGTCCACCCATTGTACAGTGCTACGGAATGTGATGGCGCTATATAAATATTAAAATAATAATAATATCTGGAGAGAAAGCTAATTTTGTAGGTGCATTATCTAAAAAAGAAATATGGAAATTAAATTTGAACATATGCATATCGGAATGAAAAACGTGTCTGTATCAAATGCATTGCAGCACAAACAGAGCGACAGTTTGAAGAGTGCTATTGAAAAAAAAAATTGTTTATTTTTCGGGGGAAAGCGGAAAAACCTGTGTGCTTTCCTGTCTTAGTAGGTTCTGGACAGAGTTTGTTCTAATGGTAAAGCAACTGAACAAACATTCTTTGGTTACAGAAAATTATTATTTTTTTAGATAAAAATCTCAGACAAAGATTAAATTGTCAAGATTTAAAGGAAAACTGTCATAATATCAGTATTTAATATAAAAGATTGTATGACTTATAGTATTATAAGTATTATAGTATTGTAGTATTATTGCAAGCACATATTCTAGCTTGCCTTCAGGTTTTGGGAGCAAACTTATGTCAGAAGCACAGCTTATCTGACGAAAACCCATTCAGATGACCAAGAGCTAGTGTG